TCGTTCTGGCAATGTTCTTCATCTCAATGATGCTATGTTGGTTCCTAAAGTCAGTCTCTCGAAAAAAGGGATCGGTTGGACAACTTTGTGATGATCGCCAAAGCTATCCCATCTTGACTCCGACTTCCTCTGTGTAAGGATCTACACACGCATAATGTCATAGCTCTAGGGTGCCGCCCTAACCCATATATGCTTTATACCTGAATGCATCCTTCTCCTCTTCTTTCTTTGTGGCTTCTTCATAACAAAGAGCTTCCTGATCTTTGGCAACTAAGGGCAACTATAGGTCTAATTCATAGGGGTTGTTAGTTTGAAGCTCGTTTATGGATGATGGATGTATTTCTTTATAAAAAAAGAATGAATTAAGCACAAACCTTACTATTACTAGATAGGGGTCAGTGCTTTTCGGCTTTTTTTGTTAAAGCTAAGGTTGCAAATGGATTCTTTTGTCATCGGATTCCAGTTTTGGACTAAGATGGGGGAGTCTCATCAGCTTTCTCTCAGTTTACAGCCACTCATGGAATTGATTATTAGTTCTCCTGTCCATATACCTATAAAATGGGGTTGCAGAAAGGAAAGGAAGCATAGACACATATCATGGATACGACTCTTGCTCTGATCTTTGACAGTCGTGTCCCCCCCTATCTAGTAAGGTAAGTGGCCCTATGTTAGTTGGGGGCCTTTTCTTTCCATCCTTTTCCACCTGATTATGCTTTCTCATCAACCGCCTTCCTCTATGCTTGTCAATATTACTCGAGATCTATGTCTGTTTGGATCGCCACCTAATTATGAAAGTCTAATACTGATTTTTGATGTTATACTCATATACCTGCCCAGGTACGTCAGATGCATCTCGTGCAGCAAACATCTGTTTCTTAAAGGGGCATGCCTGGGCTTAGAAAGGCTTTCAATGTTTTGATCCTTCTTCTCGTTCTCACCGTCCCTCTTTCTTACCTTCCATGAGCACGAGTTCTACTATTCCCCCTAATTTTAGGCCTATTGGATCAGCATCTTCTGGATCTTCTTCATCAATGGTTTTTCCTGCGCCTCCCGTGCGGGGAGTCAAAGTCCAAAGGGTCTCAGCCCTCTATTGAGCAGCCAGCACTTGCACCTCGCTCTTCTAATAATCTAATCAATTAAGCCAACATCTTTCTCATCTTCTAGTAATGACCAGTTGCCTACGGATTCCCTTTCATCCTCTATCGCAGCGGAGCCATCTCCATCTCGGCGCTTGAATGGGTTTCCCCGACCAGCAAAGGAAAAGTTCTTTCCTTAAATCGGGCCCGAGACATTCAACAATGTGACTGACCCCAATGTTATGCCCTTTATCTATCCCCCAAAAAAGGCCCGGATCCCCTATTTCTTTTTTGATAGGAAAGCTCGCCCGAGGAAAAATCTGTGTCCAGGAAAGCTATGTAAATTAGGGTCTTTAAGCCCTCACCCAGCACCTATGAGTTCAATCAACATACGTTTCATAAAGCATTTTGAAGCCATATAGCCATTTCAGCCTGACTCCCCATTTTCTCTTCAATCAAGCTATGAAAAAACGAGAGTAATGTGGAATGACTCTATTCCTGTGAGTTGTAGAGTTAGTTATCCCTTATCATCCCTGGTATTCCATTCCTCCTCCCTATGAGATGTGGGATCGACCCCGCTCTTTCTACATCCTTTTGTATGATAAGGCATGTCTATCTATCTTTTATTCAGCCTTTGCTCCACTATCAACTACCAGAATGGTTATTTTGCCTGCACCACTTTCCTCTCCCGCGGCAAGAGCTCATTCGCCAAGTCTAAACTCCCACTTTCTCGTCTATGACGGCTCTCTTCGATGCTAGCAACCGCGTTTGACCCTTTGTCTGCGCTTCTTTCAATTTCCTTACATTCTCTCTTCAAGAGAGACTTAACCTTTACTTAGAGAGGGGCTGAGGTACCACACTCTTCCATGCTCGTAAGTTGACTTCCCTATGCATCCCGACTAAGGTCTCACAAACGTGCACTTCCCTTATGCATCCAGCCGTTTAACTAACTAATGTGAATAGGTTATAAGGGTAGGTTGGTTATATACTCTTCTGCATGTTCCTTCTTCGAACCTTTTGGTATGTATTGCCCCCTAAAGATTAGATCCACCGAACGAGAAACTCAATTCTGCACTGCAGCTGAGTCGTTGGACTTATCCACCAAGGGATTCCTTGAATTTTTGTGGATTGCGTTGGAGGAAATCTACCAAAGCTAGGTAGATAGATGGACTCCTTCCCCGCTGCTAAGGGAGAGCAACAAAATTCAGAATTGGACTGCCATGAAGAATATCTTCAAGTATCTTAGTAGATTGAGGGACTATATGCTAATGTATGGTGTTGAGAATCTGATCCTTACAGGGTACACTGACTCAGATTTTCAGACCGATGTAGATTCAAGAAAATCGACATCATAATCTGTCTTCACTCTGAACGGAGGAGCAATAATATGGAGAAGCATAGAGCAAGGTTGCATTGTTGATTCCACCATGGAGGCTGAGTATGTTGCTGCTTGTGAAGCAGCGATAGAATCGTATGGCTTAGGAAGTTCTTAACTGATTTGGAAGTCGTTCCAAATATGCATCTTCCCGTCACTCTTTATTGTGATAACAGTGGAGCAGTTGCAAATTCGAAAGAACCAAGAATCCATAAACAAGGAAAACATATTGAGCGCAAATATCATCTCATAAGGGAGATTGTGCAACGAGGAGATGTGATCGTCACACAGATAGCTTCGGAGCACAACATTGCTGATCCATTTACAAAGCCCCTCAAGGCTAAAGTGTTTGTAGGGAACCTAGTGAGTCTAGGACTACGAGTTATGTAATCTAGGGAAAGTGGGAGAAAAGGCATGAGTATGTGATGCCTTAGTTTATTGTATTTATGTCTCTCTCTACTCAACATTATAAAACCCCACTGGAGTTTTAGTCCAAGTGGGAGTTTGTTGAGTTTCATGTCCTAAAACTCATAGTTTGTAAACAAAGACATATTCTATTTTCAATAAAGTTATTATTGATGTTTATTCAGTTAAGATTGTTATTGAATAAAGTGAACTTTACGATCATTAATCTAAATCAAATAAACTAAGAACACTCTGGCTATAGTATGATTACTTGAACTATATGTAGAGACATAAAAGTGAATAAGTTCAAGTATATAGTCAAAATGATCTATAGTATAAGGATAAGGTTGAGTACCTTATTCGAGGTACACTATGGATTCGGCCCACTTTTGTATATGATATAAACAATGTGATCACTAAATTGTACATGTAGAGACATGTGAGTGGGGACGTCCTATGCAATGAGTATTGCATAAGATCGAACCATGAAGAAAATCACTCTCTTTATAATGTCGTTTACTGTTGAGACTGATTTTCTTTTCATTCGATGCCTAGGTAACTCGATCTTATTCTTGAGCTAACCATGAACTCCTGTTCATTCGGAATTATCCTTAGATTTGCATGGGTGAGAGTGGCTCAAGTTCGCCGACTCAATAGGCCTCCCATTTCAGGGGTAAGACTAGGTGAATAGCTGGGGACGTGGGGTGCAAGATGGAATTCGCTCCTACCCACTTTTAGGGATAGAAGAGAGGTAGTTCCCTTAAGTACTGACTCCAGGTCTTGAACAAGGGGCCCTACCCATTCATTGGCCTAAGAGGGATTTGGTTTACTGGTTGGATCACAAACCAATTGTTCATAAGAGGATTAGTGGGACATAAGGAACAATAAGTAACTTCAGGGGTAAAACGGCTAATTGACCCAGTTCTAGTTACGAATAACCTGTGAAGGATCGACTTACTAATCATGGTTATATCAAATGGACAGAAATATATCTATAGTGAGGTGAGTGCAACTACTAGGCTATAGTGGAGTGTCCTAGTAGTTAATGAATGTTGTTTAACAAGGTTAATGAGTTTAACTAGTTAATCTTGGATCGTTGGAGCCCATGATCTATAGGTCCATTAGGTCCCTCTGAAGCTCATATCGGACTAAACCATAGAACAGTGTGAAGAGTGAGTTCGAAGTGTTCTAATTCAAATTAGGGAATATGTGCTACATATATACGATATATTTAACTGCATTTTTGTTTTATTTATGAATTAAAAAAAAAAGAATTTGAGATATTTAAATAAGATTTAAATATCTTAATCAATTATGTGTCGTAATTGATTGGAATTGGCATTTGAATTAATATTAAATATTAATTAAATAGTTTAATTAATCATTTAATGTTACTTTAAATAGTTTAATTAATCATTTAATGTTACTTTAATTTGAAATTAATTATTCAAATTAATTGTTGAATTAAAATGAAGAAAGTCAAAATGTTGACTTCATTTAATGAATAAATCCATGTTAGTGGAATTTTGAGGTGTCAAAATTTGGTTTAACCAAACTTCCATGCTTGCCAAATAAACCCCACAAGTTCGAGTGGAATTTTGAGTGTCAAACATGCATGCTTGCCACATAATCCCAAACATTTGAGTGGAATTTTGAGTGTCAAAATTTGGTGATCTCAAAATTGCATGAACATGCAAACATGACTCTTTAAATAGAGTGATCATGGTACATGGAAGGTCTTCTTCCTTGAAAAAGACCTTGAGAAAATTCTCACAAGCTCTCTCTTCATATATACTAAATCTCTCCCAAGTTTAGTCACTCACCGGATTCCACAATCTCGTTCTAAGGCCGGAGGATAGTGGAGAAGCCACTAGTGGTGGTTCGAAATCGGTTCGTGAGGAAAAAGGAATTTGAACTACAAAAGGTTAGTATTCAAATTCATTAAGTTTTAATACTTATGAACATGCTGGTTATTTACTATAATTGATGTTCTAAAAGTGCCTAAGATCCAAATTACTTCCGCATGTGTTATATTAACACCATCAGTTTGCCTCTTTCTCCTTGCTTTGAGATTCCCATGGAAAATGTTCTAGCTTGTGACAATTATAGCACTCCATTGTGGCCCTGTTGAAGGTTTGTCTGCCTCATCCCCTTCCTCTGCCTCTAAAACTTCCACGACCTTGACCCCTTCCTCTAGATTGTTCACCATGAGTGATATTCAAAGCATGTTCTTCTTCAACATGAGAACTCATGCATTGTTCATGTACAAGCAGGCTGCTTTGAAACTCATTAATGGTTAAGATGGTTGTATCCTTGGACTCCTCAATGGAACACACAATATAATCAAACTTGGGGGTCATAGATCTCAGTATATTTCCGACTACTTCAACATCTTCTTTGTTCTCACCATTTAGTTTCATCTTGTTGGCTATGCTAAGGGTCCGAGCAAAATACTCATTCACAGATTCTCCTACCTTCATGTGCAGCATTTCAAACTCCTTCCGAAGAACTTGCAAATGTGCACGTTTTACCCGTGTCGAAACTTGATATTTATACTTGATAGAATCCCATACGTTTTTTTTTTGTTTTTTTTTTGCTGTATCCATGTTGAGGGTTGTCTCCAAGAACAAACGTTCTAATGCTTGAAATAGATAATTATTTACTTTCAAATCTTTCAATTTATGATCTTCAATGTGCTTTTTTTTGGTGTTTGTTAAAACGATGTGTCCTATTGGTGCAGGAATCCCATTCTCCACCAAACCCAATACTAAAGAAGTTTTCCATGAGCATTGCCCAATGATCACAGTACCCATCAAATTTCAGTATTTCAGTATTTCGATGAAAGGGCATTTCAGTTATTAAACAAAAACAGACATTTCTTTGATTTTACCATTTTGATTATTTATTATTTATAATTAATTTTTGTTTCCCCACGAAGCCGAGAAAAAGTCGAATGTAGTGGCCAATAAGCAAAGTAAGAAAAAAATGGTCCCCTTTTGAGCGTCGGGTGTCCTTTAGTCACTCCGGCCCCATTGGTCTCCATATTCAGAGCCGATAAACGCCAGTAGGTTGCGGTAATGGGTCTTCGTCTCTGGTGTGGGTATCATACTGCAGCGGAGTTAATCGCCATCGTCGTGGGTCTCCCAAATTTGAGGCCGAAAACACCTTGACTGGTTTTCCGCACCTCCGCCGAGGGCATTTCTTCCGAGTGACTTGTATCAACAATTGGCTGGTGGGTGATGCTCTCGGTGTTGAAGACGGTTCAGAAATGATCAAAGATTTATAACTAAAGAACACATTTTCATTAACATGACTTCTTGTGGGAGCTCGAAGCAAACCTATGATATTTGTCCACTAGAGATTCATGTTAGTAACATGGTATCAAACTATGAACTTAACTTAGCTATGTCGAACGAAAAAGTTATAAGCCTAAAAATTAGTTAAAAGTGTCGAACAAATTTCGTATTTTGTTCAAGGTCTCCGAAGAAAGAAGTCGAGTCTCGATTAAAGGGAGTTTCTTTTAGAAATCCATAGGCTTTAGGGAAGGCTCTATGGTGTATTTTGTTCGAGGGAGGCTTTATGGTGTATTTTGTTCGAGGGGAGTCTCTATGATCATAGGTAATCTATAGGCTTCAAAGGTGGCTCTATGTGGTGTACTTAATGAGAGGGGAGACTCTATGATCAGTTTATAAGTAAGGAAGTCAAAACAAAATCACAAGAGTTTATGCTCTAGACAATATAATACTATTGTAGACAATATCGTAGTTTTATTTCAATAAATAAATTCATGATTCTCTCACAAACTTTATTACAATAAATAAAATTTTTAAAACTAAATCTCTTCATACAACCCAAGAATCATAAGGCTTTTCCCCAATATAGTTGCTTGGAGGATCATAATTGCAAACAACAAACTGAGAATTAGCCTTGCAGGGCATTCTAGCACATCCAAGCCGCACCGAGCTCCGCCACACCATCTGAGTGTAGTGCCCACATTTACCACCCACGCATTTATTATACGCATGATCATACAGCGGCTTCTCGTTTGCCCACAGCTTCACCGCATCCGCTCTGAAGAATTCAGGGTAGTAGCCCGCGGTTATGTTTTCCCCGTACGGCCCGGTTGAGTGGATCATGGCGCAGTCACCCTTTCTTTTTTCCTCATAGGCTTGAGCGTACACGGCCACGGTGTTGCTCCATTGCATGGGCCCGACGCTTACCTCGGCTCGAGCTCGGTTGTGAAGCGCGAGGTAGTCACCGGGGGTGTTTTGAGCTTTGATTAGGGCGAGGAGGAAAATGAAAGTGGCCATGAAAGCGGTCATGATCGGAAGGGTTTGAGTCCACATAATTCCGATGAGAGATGAGATGAAGATTGAGAATGAGGGAATGATTTATATAGAGATGGAAAACTTAATATGAAATGTGATGGGAAAACCATGAATTTTGAACTAATTATGTTATGCTTGGGAATTCAAAGAGAATAAATTCATTCTCGCTTCCATGTTTAATTACCGGCTAGATTTTTGTTTGGATTAGGTTCAAATAAATGAAAATTTTCTAGATTTAGATAGTTTATGATTTTTTTTTTAGGATTAATGAAACTTAATCCACCGGATTATGGTTAATCTTAAAAGATACATTTTTACTTGTAGGTATATATTTATTGTTTTATTTAGTTTCATAATTTTATTTATTTATTTTTTTCCAATTTTTTAAAATATGTATTAAAATTGAATTGGTTAATTAAATGTTAAAAAATAAATAAATAATGTTAATAATTTATTAAAATTTTGAGTATATGAAATGAACTAATTTAACCTAAAATTTTTATAACCTATTTAGATTGGGTTTATTATATAAAAAGAATTAGCCTTGCAGGGCACTCTAGCACATCCAAGCGGCTTCTCGTTCGCCCACAGCTTCACTGCATCCGCCCCGGTGAACTCAGGGTAGTAGCCCGCGGCTATGTTTTCCCCATACGCCCCGGTTGAGTGAATCATGGCACAGTCACCCTTTCTTTTTTTTGCATAGGCTTGAGCGTATGCAGCCACGGTGTTGCTCCATTGCATGGGGCCAACGCCGACCTGGGCTCGATCGCGGTTGTGAAGTGCGAGATAGTCACGCACAACCGCGAGATAGTCACGGGGGGGTTTTGAGCATTGGTTAGGGCGAGGAGGAACATGAAAGTGGCAATGAAAGAAGCCATGATCGAAGGGGTTTGAGTCCACATAATTTCAATGAGAGATGAGATGAAAATTGAGAATATGGGAAGGATTTATATAAAGATGAAAAACTTAATATGGAATGCGATGGGAAAACAGTGAATTATGAACTAATTATGCCATGCTCGGAAATTCAACTTCCATGTTTAGTTAGGCTAGATTTTTGTTTGAATTAGGTTCAAATGAATGAAAATTTTCTAGATTTAGCATGAATTTTTTTTAGGATTAATAAAACTTAATCCACATAGAGGTTAATCTTAAAATTTAAGATACATTTTTACTCACTATTTTGGTATTCATGCACGTATATATTTATTTTTTTATTAACTAAAGGTTTGAAAAAAATAAATAATGTTAATATTTTACTTAAAATTTTGAGTAAATGAAATGAATTAATTTAACCCAAAAAATATATGATAGATTATATAACAAAGAATCATAAGAAGAATAGAAAATCAACTTTCAATTTGAGCCGATAAACTCACATAGTGGTAGAGTGTGGTAGAGTGTGGTAGAGTCGACTAATGGCTAATCCAATTGACTCACTTGGCTGCACTACGGTTAGTCTGACTTGATCCATTAAACTTTTCATTTTAATCGATAAATTCATCCTTTTTAAAATAGTAGTTGAATAGGATAAACTTTTATATTAAAAAAGTTAATTTTTTAAAATTTGGAGACTTATTACACCATTTTAAAATAACAAATGGTTAAACATTTTCGTATCCTACTGTTTTCAAAGTTTAGGAATATGTATGTTTTTTTTCAAAGTTTAGGTTGCGGCAGTGGGCCTTCGTCTCCGATGTGGGTCTCATAGTGCAGTGGAGTTAAACGCCGCCGTGCATCTCTCGATTTGGAGGCGGAAAACATCGTGGACTGATTTTTCGCATCTCTGCTGAGGGCATTTCTTCCGGGTGACTTGGAACAGGAATTGGCTGGTGGCTGGTGTTCTTAGTATTGAAGATTGTTTGGAAATGATCGTAGATTTATAAGTAAAGAATACATCTTCCGGAGCCTGAAGCAAACCTATGAGATTTTCTCATGTTTAAAGTGGACAAATATCATATACCATTGTAGAGATTCGTGATTCTTAACATGGTTATCAGACCATGAACTTAACTGAGCTATGTCGAACAAAGAAATTGTTAGCCTCCAATTTGTAGTCAAAAGTGTCGAACAAAGGGTGTATTTTGTTTAATGGCTCCAAAGAAAGTAGTCGAGCCTCGATTAACGGAAGGTTGTTCTAGAAATCTACGAGCTTCAGGGGTGGCTCTGTGATGTACTTAATTAGAGGGGAGACTCTATGAACATGGGTTTACGAGCAAAGAGGTCAAAACCAAGTCACAAGAGTTAACTCAAGGAGGTCAAAACAAAGTCACAAGAGTTAACTTAAACCGGACAATATAATACTATTATAGACAATATCATAACTTTATTTCAATTCATAAATTCATGATTCTCTCACAAACTTTATTACCATTCATAAAATTTTTAAAACCAAATCTCTTTGAACCACCCAAGAATCATAAGGCTTTTCCCCAATATAGTTGCCAGGAGGATCGTAATTGCAAACAACAAACTGAGAATTAGCCTTGCAGGGCACTCTAGCACATCCAAGCCGCACCGAGCTCCGCCACACCATCTGAGTGTAGTGCCCACATTCACCACCCAAGCATTTATTCGACGCATGATCATACAGCGGCTTCTCGTTCGCCCATAACTTCACCGCATTTGCCCCGGTGAACTCAGGGTAGTACCCAGCGGCTATGTTTTCCCCGTACGGCCCGGTTGAGTGAATCATGGCGGAGTCACCCTTTCTTTTTTTCGCATAGGCTTGAGCGTACGCGGCCACAGTTTTGCTCCATTGCATGGGGCCGACGCCAACCTGGGCTCGAGCGCGGTTGTGAAGCACGAGGTAGTCACCGGGGGCGTTTTGAGCATTAGTTAGGACGAGGAGGAACATGAAAGTGGCAATGAAAACAGCCATGATCGGAAGGGTTTGTGTCCACATAATTCCGAAGAGAGATGAGATGAAGATTGAAAATAAGGGAAGAATTTATATAGAGATTGAAAACATAATATGGAATGCGATGGGGAAAACAATGAATTATGAACTAATTATGTCATGCATCATGCTTGCAAATTCAACTGGAATGAATTGGTTCGGGCTTTCCATGTTTAATTAAGAGATCTTTGTTTGGATTAAGTTCAAATAAATGAAATTTTCTAGATTTAGCTAGTTTATGAATTTTTTTTAGAATTAATGGAAATTAATCTACCTGGATTATGGTTAATTTTAAAAGATATATTTTTTCTTGCCATGTCACCCATATATTTATTAGGTATATATTTATTGCTTTATTTTATTTTATTTATTCTTCCACCCCTCTTTTAAATATATATTAAAATTTAGTGTCTTAATTAAATATTTGAAAATAAATAAATAAGTTTAATATTCTACTTAAAGTTTTGAGTGTACGAAATGAACTAATTTAACCTAAAAATTTTATGATCAGAGTTAAATTAGGTTTATTATATAACGAGAATTTCTTAGAAATATTTATGACTAATTGAGTTATGAATTTTTGTATTTTTTTTCTTTTAAAAAAAATTAAACGTAAATTAAAACATAGATCCGGGATGAAACAGAACCTCTGACCTAATTTTAACATTTTAATTACTATTAAGTTATATTCACATTACTGTTATTATAAAATAATAAAAATAATAATAACCTTAGAGCAATCAGTTAAAATAAAAATTATTTATAAAAACCATTTTATTCCTTATCGAATTCAGGCGTATATTGTAAATGACAACCCAATAAAATTTCTCAAATAAAATAAAGTTTTTATAAGGAAAAAAAAAATTGGAGAATGCCAGATGATTGAGAACCATGAAGTGAGAAAGAGCAGAATTTGAACTTCTCCCCTCTCAATCAAATTTCAAAACATGCTTTTTTTTTTTTTTTTTTTTGTTTG